GGGGGGGGGTATCCTCTGGGCAAAGCCTTGTGCTGGCTCCCACCTCGCCTTGGGGGAGGGGAAACGATAACCCGGCTTCCCTGTCCAGAACTGAATGCACTTCCTCCTTTCGGAAAGGGCTGGGGGTGGGGAAAGTAGATGTCTGAGCAGATGGTTCTAGGAAGGCTTGAAGAAGGTGGCGGCACTGGAGCAAGTTGGGAACCTCTCCGTGGAGGAGATGGGGACCGGAGGGACGCACAGATGAAGCAACGGGCAGGATAGCTCGGGACCTGGGTCCGCCTGGTGTCCGCAGAGCCCACACGCTCTGGACACTCACTAGAGTCGCCTGCATCGATAGGCTGGGAGCGGTGAGGTTTGGCAAGAGCCTCAGGCGGGCACGATGACTAGGGGAGTGCTTGTTAGAGGCTGGGGGCAGGGAGGTGTTGGTTTCCTGGTCCATTTTTAACGCCTCAAAGACCAGATCAGCCCCCAGAGAACCAAGTGCCCGGTGTCTTGCGCTGAGTCATCGAACCGTATGGGCAACTCACGATGTGCCCAGTGGGCGTAAGACTAAGGGGCACGGTGGTCCCTGTCTTCACGGAGCTCACAGCCTCCCAGGGGACAGAGACGTCACTCAGATGACCATGCCCCGCACAAGGGCACTGAAGGAAAAGTAGGGGGCCGTGAGAGCAGCCCCATCACGGGGTAGCCCCCGAGGAAGTGACATTTGAGCTGAAGTTGACTAGGACCAGGTGAGACAGGAATGGAGAAGGGTGGCAGGTCCATTCCTTCAGGAGGTAGGAAAGAGCCTGTGTGTTTGGGGAGCTGAGGTGGCCGGTGGGATGGGGACAGAGCCCAGCAGGGACAGATCAGGCCGTCTTAGCGGACAGAAAGGCTTTTGGTCTTTATCATAAGAGCACTGGGAGCCACTGAAGGGCCGACGTCTGATCTGACATGATCAGATTTACGTTCTTAAAAGGTCACTTTGGTGGCAATTCACGGAGAACGGCTCGAGGTGACAGAGCTGACGTGATTGGAGCTCCTGTGAGGGCCTGTGCTGGGCTTGGGCCCCTTCCTGCTCCTGCTGAGTCCACTCTGGCCTGCCCCCTGTGGGCAGGGGTGGGGTGGACCGGTCAGACAGCCCTCTTTCCTTTCCATTCTTCTAGCCTCCACCCTGGGGACGTGTGAGCCCTGCGTCCACTTAATCATGGAGAGGGTTGGCCTGGGCCACCAGCCCCTTAGGTGAGGACTCTGCCTGGGGCTCCGTGGACGATTCTGAATCATGGAGGCAAAGAGGACTCTTCCGGCCAGGAGACCTTCCTGTTGAAAGTTGTGGCCCAGCTTGGCCGGCCCTTCCTGTCTTCGGCTGTCTTGGGGAGAGGCTCCCACCGACCCAGAGCTAGGGGGTTGCGGCTTCCCCGGATGGGGAGGTGGGCCTTCGACGTGGCCTTTGTGTGGAAGGCGGTGTTGACTCTGGGGCTGGTCCTCCTCTATTACTGCTTCTCCATCGGCATCACCTTCTACAACAAATGGCTCACCAAGGTAATAGGGTCCTTGCCGGGCAGGGGGCTGGGTGGCAGGTGACTGTGGCCGTGGCTACAGCGACCCCTAATATTTAGCAACAGGACGGCACAGGCTTCAGCCAGTCAGACTGGAAGCCAGTCACGCTGGTGATGGGACCGGGCCCTAGAGCCCCACCGTGCCAAGGCTTCCCCTCAAACGGGTGGAGGGAGGGGAAACCGGGAAAGGGGGAGGACTGAGGATGAGTGGGGGCACTAGGGAGGCTTAAGGAGGCAGCTGCTCACCGGCCAGTGGAGAAGCGTTTCGGGGTTTTCATGACCGGTGCAGCTGAGCCGGCCGCACAGGCCCTTCCTGGGGAGGGGCCGCAGCAGGAGGCTGAGGGCGGTGGGGACGGCGCCATGCCCGCCACCTGCTCTCTGTGTGACTTCTGAAATTGGAACCACACGTCTCTTGTCTCCAGTGATTATAACGTGGGTGAAAGCCCCTGGGCTGCTGCAGACCCTCGGGAGCCACCTGGTTGGCGTCGCTGCCACCGGACAGGGGGGACGGGCTGCGGGCAGGCTGTAACCCGTGCTGGGCGGTCTGTGCTTTGGGCTCCGTAGAGCTTCCACTTCCCCCTCTTCATGACGATGCTGCACCTGGCCGTGATCTTCCTGTTCTCCGCCCTGTCCAGGGCGCTGGTTCAGTGCTCCAGCCACAGGGCCCGCGTGGTGCTGAGCTGGACGGACTACCTCAGGAGAGTAGCTCCCACAGGTACAGGCCTGCCTGGGGCCGGGGCAGAGGAGGGCACTTGGAAAGCCACAGGCTAAGAACACAAGGGCTTGATGTCTCGGAGCTTAGGCCCTCCTGCTCCTCTCTTCCTGCCTCCCCTCCCAGCCCGGCCCTGCTTCTGCCTCTTATGCACTCCCCAGCTCCCCCCTCCCCAACGCACACCCAGTGCGCGCGCTCCCGTGCACATGGAGGCAGCAATGGCCTTGTCGTTGTCTGGCCCTTCGATGTGTATGCTGAGCTGACACCTGCCCTGGAGACGGCAGTGAGCAGAGTCCCGTCCCTGTCCTGGCGGTAGTGGGACGATGAGGGGTGCCTGGGAGCCCAGAGGCACCAGCCCAGGCCCAGGGGGAGGCTTCCCAGAGCTTGGGCTACAGCGGCCGAGGCTTCAGTGCGTGTGCGGGTCTGAAAGGGAACTGAAAGCGTCTCCGGACGCCGAGACTCAGCGCTGGTGAGGGGAAGTGGGAGAAATGAGGGGGTGGCAGGGACAGACCCTGGAGGACCCAGGCCTCCAGGACGAGTGTGCCTCTATCCTGAGGGAAGGGACATTCACACATTCGCCATGTTTAGCCACTGGGAACTACCCAGTCCTAATGCTGGAGCGGAACCCCCTGCGTTTTGTGGCCAGGAGTTGACCCTTCAGCTGCTGTGAAAGGAAGGCCCGAGGGCCCCAGAGAAAGCCGGGGTGTTCGGGGCAAAGCAGGGAGCGCTCGGGGGCCTCTCGGAGGTGTCTGAACAGCCGGCGCTCGCGTGCCGGCCTGCCCTGGCTGCATGTCCGGGGGCGCCCCTGTCTCCACAGCACTGGCAACAGCGCTTGACGTGGGCTTGTCCAACTGGAGCTTCCTCTACATCACCGTCTCGCTGTGAGTACCGGCCACACCCCGCCACCTCCGTCCAGCCTTTTGCGCGCACCCTGCCGGCGGGCCAGCGCCGTACCCCTCTCTGGGACCGGCCCTTGATCTCCACTCCTTCCTGACACCCAGCGGCTCTCTGGGAAGCTGACAGCCCCTGCGGTAAACTTAGCTCGCAGGGGTGCTGTGCCTGCCTGCCCGGCGGCCCCGGGTGGCGGGGGGAGCCAGGGACTCAGAGTGGTGACCGTATGCAGGGGAGAGAGGGCACTGACCGGTGTGTGGTGCCTGTGGCTGCGCAGAAGGGCGGGTGTGACCGTCCTCTCTCATCTCTGACTCTGCACTTCAGGGAGCACAGCCTTTGCCTTCTTTTTCTCCTCTCCTCCTTCCTTCCTTCCTTATCCCGGTCTCCACGGAGGAGCAGGTATAATAGGACTTAGTGAGCTCAGCGTCCAACCCGCGGCCTTTTCTCTCTGGCGGTAGCAAGAGTCCTCTTAGGCCAAGATTTCTTCTGATTAAAGGTCACGTCATCAGTCCAGATGACTCAGGCTGCCTTCCTGTGGTCTTCTGTACCCAGATTGCCTGGCTGCCCTGAGCAGAGCCAGCTGCCCTCAGGGAAATCAGAGGTCCCCCGGCCTCCCGCCTTTTCCAGCAGTGTCCGTGGGCTCCTCTCCTGGTGGCGGGTCTGAGCCCTGAGCCCTGGCGGTGCATCGTGGGTGCTTTGTCCTTGCAGGTACACGATGACCAAGTCCTCCGCTGTCCTCTTCATCCTGATCTTCTCGCTGATCTTCAAGCTGGAGGAGCTGGTGAGGCCTCAGCTCCCCTGGTCCCTCCTACCCCCACAGATGCTAAGAATAAAAGGGAGGACTGGGCAGTAGCTAATCACTGTATGTGACCGAGGAAACGAGCCCAGGTGGCCGTAACTCCTGTCACTGAGGAAGGACCTAGGACAGGCCACTGCTGATAATACTTAGCAACTGGCGTGGCAGGTGGAATGACCAAAAGAATGACCAAAGGAGAAAGGGTTCAAGGTCAGGGACCAGGCACAGCTGGCCCTTTGCTATAACCAAAGGAAAGCGCTAAAGAAGTTTAGATCAAGGAGGGATGCAGGGTACATGTCTACTGAACGTCAGCCGTGCCTACATTGATGGGAAGTTGCTGGCCGGGACCCCCAAGGTCGAGGGGGAGAAGGGTTTCCTGCCTCAGGGTCAGCCAACATGGCTACCGAGCCTAAGCTCCAGGTTTGAGGAACTCAAGAGCCCACAGTTAGTTGCCACTGCTCCTCATCCTAATAGCGCGCAGCGCTGGTCCTGGTGGTCCTCCTCATCGCCGGGGGCCTCTTCATGTTCACCTACAAGTCCACACAGTTCAACGTGGAGGGCTTTGCCTTGGTGCTGGGGGCCTCGTTCATCGGCGGCATCCGCTGGACCCTAACCCAGATGCTCCTGCAGAAGGCCGAACTTGGTGAGAGAGGGGCCTGGGGGCACCGGGCAGGGTGGGGGCAGGCCAGGCCAGGCCTGGCAGCTCACCCGTGTCCCCATTCTGCAGGGCTCCAGAACCCCATTGACACCATGTTCCACCTGCAGCCACTCATGTTTCTGGGGCTCTTCCCTCTCTTTGCCATATTTGAAGGTAGGTTCGGTCGTCCATCTTGGCGGCCCCTCGGTACAACAGATCCCCGGTCCCTGCTCTGAGCCCAGCCCTGTGGTAACTGCAGAGTTTACAGACATCAGAGGTGTAGTCCGTCCCTTGGTAGTGCCTGGTTCAAGGGCCAGACAGACATTAAACCGGATGGCTGGAATCCAGCATGATAAATGCTTACACAGAAAGTGTGTATGAAAGACAGCAGATGATGATGACAATGGATGCGGACAGGTGTGCCAGGCTCTTCTGATCATTTTATTTCAATGTTTTATTTATTTTTTTTTTTATTATTTTTGGGACAGAGAGAGACAGAGCATGAACGGGGGAGGGGCAGAGAGAGAGGGAGACACAGAATCGGAAACAGGCTCCAGGCTCTGAGCCATCAGCCCAGAGCCTGACGCGGGGCTCGAACTCACGGACCACGAGATCGTGACCTGGCTGAAGTCGGACGCTTAACCGACTGCGCCACCCAGGCGCCCCTCTTCTGATCATTTTAAACATACTAACTCATACACCCCAAAACCCCACATGGCCGTACTATCATTATGCCCATCGCGCAAGTTAAAGAAACAAGTGGGGAGAAGATAACCTTGCCCAAGGTCCTGTGGTTCATAAACAAGCCAGCATTTGGTTCCAGCAGCTGGCTTCCAAGTCCTTCGTGTTAACCATGATGTGTTCTGTCTCTTAGAAGGAACGGAAGGCCATGAATTATTTCAGGATGCTAGGGTGGAAAGCCAAGTCAGAAAGGCTTACCAGGCAACGTATTTTGGAGGCTGGATGGGACTTTGACAGGCCGTTGGTGGCGGAACAGTAGGTTGGGACAGGGGGAGTGTGCCGGACTTTGTGCGGCCAGCCCTTGTACAGGAGTCTGGGCTGGTGAGCAGTCCCGCCCACCATTGCCGCCTGGAGAGGG